TTTTTTTTTTTTTTTTGGTACTGGGGATAAAACTTGGGCCCTTGCGCTTGCAGAGCAGGTGGCAAAACCACTGAGCCAAATCCCCGGCCCTTAGGTTGTCTTTTCTGAGGGTGCTGAATTAAATAAATATGTAAGGTAGTGTGAAGATCAGAGATAAGAACATTCCAGAGGGATACAATACTAAGTTTGAAGACTCAGGTTGAGAATGAGCTTGGGTGTTTTAGGCAGTAAGGTTAAAGTAGAGTGTGTAAGAGAAAGAGTAGAATAAGGTAAGGCCAGCAAATCAGCCTGGGCCCCAAATCATGTAGGCCTTGAATCTGAATTAGTTCTGTATGTGGAGAGGGAAGGCATTTGTGAATTCTGAGCTGAGAGGTGGGGAAGGGGGTGTAAAACTGTCCAATTTATGTTATAGGTTTACTCATGCTTCCAGACAGAGAATACTTCTGGACAATGTATAGCAAAACAAAAATGAAAACAGAGAAAATAGTTTTAAGGCTATTACAGTCATCCAGGCTTTACTTGCTTCTCAATAAATGTTACAGGACTAAAAACTGTCCTGGGTAAACTTCTTTACCTAATAGGAAAAATTCTACATGACCAGCTGGGAATTTCCACTCAGTGGTTCCGCCACCTGTCTCACAAGCATAAAGATCCAGAGTTCGATCCCTAGTACCAAAACCAAACCAAAACAACAACAACAAAAATTCTTCATAACTTTTCCTAGATAGATGATAACCAATAAATTGTAAACTGACCACCAACTCCATTTAAAACCCAAACATGGAGGGAGGGGGTGTTAGACATGGACAAGCAGAAGAGTAAAACATCCACCTGAAGAGACAAGATTATTGGAATAAAACATATATTTGAAAGGCCATTGAATTTCTCTGACTAGATTCTATATTTAAAATCATGGGGGTAGGATAATAGCTAACAGTTATCACTACATGTCCAGCACTATACTAGGCACTGTTGTTTTTCAGTATATTTTATAAACCATAGTGCAGAAACATAGGGATTTTTTAAAGATTATTAGTAGCTCATAAAATCCTGTGTTGGAAGCTGTGTGACTAACACTGTACAACCACACATGCCAGTACTGCTGTAGAGAAAATACCATTGGTACTGTGACTTGGAACTGCAAGTTGAACTGACAGTGTTTGGATCTGGGCAGCAGACACTCCACACTATTGTGCTGAAGAGCTGTTAACGTGTGTTTTATCATGCTTGCTGAATGGTGGATTCTTGTTTTATGTGTTTTGTTTGTTTGTTTTGTTTTTGGTACTGGGGATTGAATTTAGGACCTTGTGCTTATGAGGCAGGCACCGTGCCACTGAGCTAAATCCCTGGCTAATGATGGATTTTATACAGCCTACATTGTTATGTTGTTTCCTTATTGGTTTGATGAATTAAAATGATAGTAGAGTTAGGCATGCTCATGACACAGGAGGCTGAGGCAGAATGATTGCTATGGAGGCCAGTGTGGGCTACATAGCGAGATCAAGTAAGCTTGAACTACATAGTGAGACCCTGTCAAAAACAGCCAGATGTGGTGCATGCCTATAATCTTAGTATTTGGGAGGCAGAGGCAATAGGATCATCATGAGTTTGAGGCCAGCCCATACCACATAAAGAGTTCAAGGCAAACCTGAAATGCATAGCAAAACCCTGACAAAAAACAAAATCAGCTGGGTGTGGTAGCACACTTGTAATCCCAGCACTTGGGAGGCTGAGGCTGGAAGATCACTGCAAGTTTGAGGCCAGTGTGGGCTACATAGTATCTTCAATGCCAGGCTAAACTACATAGTGAGACCCTCAGGCACTCTAGGCTATCATTTACAGAAGAATAGTATCAGAAGAGCTGAGAGAGATCTTTTCCAGGGCACACTTAGAAGACCCGAGGTTAGATAAGAGAGGTGAAAGAGATATCCTGAGGCTCAGAAATCAAAGAATTTATGAAAAAGCAAAGAAAACTCCTTCTAGACCCCCAGGTCAGAATGCCAGGTGGTAAATCAGAGAATGGCTTTCCAACAGTTTTAAGAATGAAGACTTGATTGTGAAGCACAGGCAGATCTCTGGAATCTGGCCAGTGCTGTGCCAAGGATTCCATACCTTGCTACAGAGAAAGACTTAACTCTACCTTCCAAGCCTTTGAAGCCAGTGCAGTACGACTGGAGCCTCAGAAAAGTTCAAACACTTCTGAAGAAGTGTGGCTTGTCAGGAGAAATACGTACTTTTCTTTTTTCTTTTTCTTTTTCTTTTTTTTGAGACAGGGTCTCACTATGTAGTTGAGACTGACCTGGAACTCACTATGTAGCCCAGGCTGGTCTTGAACTCACAGCGATCCTCCTGCCTCAGCCTCCCGAGTGCTCATTTGCTTTTCTAAAGGTAAATATTTTCTGCTTCAGTTTTCAGGTTTTGCTTTAAATATAAAATGTCTAGTATACAATAAATGAAAACACAGGTACTTATGTTAAGAGAAAATAATGTTAGCAGATCCATTAGATGCTGGTGTTGTGAGAGTTTTTCAGAAGAAACATGATAAAAATACTGAATTTTTTTTTAAAGTCCAAAGGATAATGATAAGGACAAAGATACAAGAAAGAAAACCAAAAACTATTATCCCTTATAAATATACTGTACATGTAAAAATCCTCAACGGAGTACTAGAGAACTAAATCTCACATCACATTAACAAGATCATGCTATTATATTATCGAGTGGTAATTATCCCAGGAATGTAAGGGTGGTTCAGCATATAAAAATCAATCAATATAATATACTATGTTAATGGAAGGAAAAATACTATGTAATCATCTCAGAGCATTTAGGGGTGGGGATACAAGTCAGCATTAGAGCATATACTTAGCATGTGCAAGGCTCTAGGTTCAATCATCAGCCCCTAAAAAGAAAAGAGCCAGGTATGGTGGCACATGCCTACAATCCTAGCCCTTTGAGAGGCTGAGATAGGAGGATCACAGGTTTAGAGCCAGCTTAGCCTGCATAAATAGCAAGATTCTTTTTTTTTAATCATTTGACAAAATTTTAATAGCCTTTCATGATTTAAAAATAGATAAAAGCAGCAAAATTAGACTAGGTGGAAACTTTCGTAACACAAGGGCATTTATGAAAAACTTGTAGCTAGCATCATATTTAATGTTGGAAGACTGAAGCTTTACTCCTAAGATCAAGAAGACAAAATTGCCTGCTTTCCTAACTGCTAATCAACACTGTACTAAGAATTGTAGCCAAAGCAACTAGACAATAAAAAAGAAAAAGCATTTAGATCATAAGGAGGTTGGCTTATCTCTACTCACAGATGATATGATTCTATACACAGAAAGTGTTAACAAGAAAGCTACTAGAGCTAATAAGCAGTTTCAGGGAGAATAGCAATACAGTTCAGTTGTATTGCTCTGTACCAGCAATGAACAATGTGAAGGAAAAACTGAGAGTAAATTCATGTATAATAGTTTCTAAAAGAATTAAATACTTAGAAATAAATCTAACTTGAGTGTATGATGTGTAATGCTGAAAACTTTAACATTGCTGAAAGAAATTTAAAGACTATCTAAATTGTTAAGATGTCAGTACCTCCCCAAAGTGATCCACAGATTCAGCACAATACCTTTCAGAATTTTAGCAGCCTTTTTAGGTGAAATGGAAAACCAAGTGCTCAAATTCATATGGAATTGCACAGGGCCTACAATAGCCCAAACAGAAGAGTAGTTAGAGGACACATTTCTCAATTTTGAAACTCACCATATGTAAAAGTTACAGTAATTAAAACTGTAGTACAAAGCTGGATGGGGTAGTACACAACTATAATCCTGGTACTTGGGAGAACTTGGCAAGAAGATTACTGTGAAGTTGTGTCCAGGCTGGGCTACGTAGTGAGTTCAAGGCCAGCCCAAACTACATACAAAGATCCTGTCTCAACAAAACAAAACAAAACACACAACAGTGTAGTATAGGCACAAAGCGACTAATGGTGTAAAATAGTCCAGAAATAAACCCTCACATGTACTGTAAGGTCAAATGATTTTGTACAATCAATAGAGGAAGGACAACACTGTTCAGTAGAGAAAGGACAGTTTTCTCAACAAATGGTCTTGGGAAACTGGGTATCTATGTGCAAAAGAATGAAATGAACCCTTACCATACACTACTAAGTCTGCAGGTTTGGTCTAAATGATTAATGTTGCATGGAGTACAGAATCAGCATGTATTTGCATTGTCCACAGCTGTCAGAAGGCCTTATAAAATGTTGATGATTCAGATACTTACCCAGCACCCTCCTCCACATTGCTTTGTAATATATTCTAGTGATTTTTTTAACTCTTGTGGTTTTTTTTTTTTTTTTTTTACTCTTGTGGTTTTTTTTTTTTTTTGCTACTGGGGATCGAACTCAGGTCCTTGTGCTTGCGAAGCAGCTGCCAGAACCACTTAGCTAAATCCCCAGCCCTTAATTTAGTAATTTTTGGGGTTTTTTTTGTTTTGTTTTGTTTTTTTAAACTCTTAAGGTACTTCAAAAATTTGGAGGGATATTCACTGATTTTTGTTATTATCTTTGTTTGTTTGTTTGTTTGTTTTTGAGACAGAGTCGCTTGGTATAGTTTAGGCTGATCTTGAACTCACTATAGCCCAGGCTGGCCTTGAATTCAGAGCCATCCTCATGCCTCAACCTTTTGAATGCTAGGATTCCAGGCATGTGCCATCATACCTAGCTATGTTGTTGTCTTTTTTGAAATAGCATTATATATCAATAGTATATGATATGATATAATAGACTTTGAATTATAAATTTATAAAATGCATGGATAATGAATAGGGATTTTTTTGTTTTTTTCTTCCTGACTAGCTCCTGGGCTATAGTGAAAAGCCGATAAATCTACAAATGTTTATTGGAACAGCAGATGATCGATATTTACGACCGCATGCATTTTACCAGGTGCATCGAATCACTGGAAAGACAGTTGCAACTGCAAGCCAAGAAATAATAATTGCCAGCACAAAAGTTCTGGAAATTCCACTTCTTCCTGAAAATAATATGTCAGCCAGGTATCTTGAAATATACCACAAAATGTGCATTTCTTTTCCTAAATTTCACAAAATACATTTTTTAGTATAAAAATAAAATAGCAAGTTGTCATGGCACATACCTGTAAACCCAGCATTTGGGAGGCTGAGGCAAGAGGATTGCCACTAGTTCAAGACGAGCTTGAACTACATAGCAAGACCTTGTCTCAAAAAACCAATCAATCAATTATAGTTCTATATTAACTGAATGATAGTATGTAAATAATTATAGCACATTGCTAAAGATGGTAGCATATTTCAGAAAAGAAAATTCAACTCATCAAACATTTGTGGGCTGAGTACTACTAGCCAGGCATTATCATAGGTGACAAAATACATGAACTTTTCATCAAGTTAATTATTAATAGAGTATACAGTACATTATTACAGTACACTTTTAATTGTTAAGTGTCCTTAAGAAAAACTTTTGACTTTACCCCCAGTCATCACATTTGACCCATTGCCCAAAAAGTGTGATAGGGCTAGCCTTTGAATTAGATTGCAAGTAGGCTTGCCTTTTGCTTTACAATCTTTTACATGCAGCATCAGAAACCTTTGAACATATGATTAGAGAACTATAGAGGGAAATTAAAAACTCAGTTTTTTTTTTGTTGTTGTTGTTGTTTTTGGTACCGGAGATCAAACTCGGGTTCTTGTACTTGCAAGGCAGGCAGTAGAACCACTGAGCTAAATCCCCTGCCCGTGAAAACTCAGTTTTGAACCATGTTTTTCTAAAAACTCCATAAATTGATACCCAGGATCAGTTTCTACTCATTTCTCTGGATAGTCAAACATGAACCAACTTAGAAAGTTGCCAGAAGCTTATTATACTTCTTTGTATAAGAAATAGCCATATGAATAGTCTTAAGCAATCTTCCTGCATCATCTTCCCAAGTGTTGGAAATTGTAGGGATACACCACCTTGAAAACTTCATAATCTGAAAACCACTGTTAAAATTCATGAAATTTTTAGATGGGTCATTACTGCACACACACACATACACACACACACACACACACACACCCACACACACCCACACACCCACCCACCCACCCACCCACAAAGACTTCTTTCAACTTTAATGAGAAAAGCTGGTGTTTCTAAATGGCATGGTAACTCTTGCTCCATCAGACAACAAAAGACCTTATAAAAAGCTATCTCCCGTTTACTTTTTGCATTTGGTTTCCCGGAAGTTCATAGTCAAGCACAATTATAGTAATCAATAGTAATTTGTAGCTTAGACATGGTGGTGTACACCTATAAACCCAGCACTTGGGAGGGTGAGACAGGAGGATTGCTGCAAGTTCAAGGGGAGCCTGGGCTGCATAGTGATAAGTTCAAAGCCTGTCTGAAATCAATAGCAAGACCTTGTCTAAAAATAAGTAATTTGTAAAAACTAGATTTGGGCTATATTTATTTTTCCTTCTAATTGTTTTTGCTGTTTCTCTTTTCTTGGCCTTATTTATATTTATATTATAAAATGCCTCATATCCTCTCTATAAATAATATATAAGCCAGGCCGGGTGTGGTGGTGCATGCCTGTAATTCCAGCACTCGGGAGGCTGAGGCAGGAGAATCACTGTGAGTTCAAGATCAGCCTGGGCTACATAGTGAGTTCCAGGTCAGTCTCAACTACATAGGGAGGCCCTGTCTCAAAAAACAAACAAAAATAATAATATATAAGCCAATCAGTGAAAGGAAAAAGAGGGCTGGGGATTTAGCTCAATGATGCCGATGCCTGCCTTACAAGCTCAAGGTCCTGAGTTCTATCCTTGGTACAAAAAAAAAAGGAAAAACAGACTCCCTGAAAATAAGGCCTAGCCAGAAGATAATCAGCCTGGAAAACTAGAGATCAAAAATCCCATTACTGGGCTGGGGATTTAGCTCAGTGGTTCTACCACCTGCCTTACAAGCACGAGGTCCTGAGTTTAGTCCCTGGTACCAAAAAAAAAAATGCGAGCCCCAGTCAGCCTATCCTTGCCTTACCTGCCATCACTATTCTCTTACTCAGTGCCTACTCTGTGAGGCAGTCTTATCTCCAGGTAGGTCTTTTGTTTTTTGTTGGGGGGTGTGCCGGGGATTGAACTTGGGACATTGCACTTGTGAGGCAGGTGACGGCCCCACTGAGCTAAATCCCCAGCCCTCCAGGTAGGTCTTATTTTGGGGGAAGCACGGGAGTACATTAATTTCTATGAAAACTTTCCTTTTTTATTTTACTATAATACAAATATATATTAATAAAGAAAATGTTCTATGAAAAATTAAAAATTTAATATCAAAATAATTAGAGAGTGACAATGGTTAATATACTATGGGGGTCAAATGCAAAATAGTGTGAAAGGCCTGGGGATTTAGCTCAGTGGTTCCACTGCCTGCCTTGAAAGTGCAGGGTCCCTAGTTCAATCCCTGGTACCAAAAAACAAAACAAAATAGTGTGAAAAAATTAAAGCAATAAAATCTGAGCATATGTACCTCTTTTATCTACCATAGGCTAAGGCATTGAACAGAGCTAATAGTCATGATTTGTGTCACTTCTTCAGCTGCACTTGACATTTACTGCTTCTTGGATCAGACCAGGAAAAACAAAATTTCAGAAATACCATTGTGACTAGTAACAAGCCACTAGACCTTTCACCCCACCCTGCCCTGACCTACCCCCACATACCTGAAGCATCTCAACTATTCTGTCTGCTCTCTTAATAGATTGGCAAATCAGATGTTTTATAAAACTGCAGTAGTCCTATAGAACCAGAACTCAAAGCTTGTAGTAATATTGTTTGTAGTCAAAAAAGGATTGAATAAGGGGCAACTGGTAAGTTATCTGAACCCCAGAAGCCCTTTTCATATACTGTGGATAACCAGACAAGTAATGCTAAATCAGCCTGTTTAACCTAAAAGTAAATTACTAGGTTAAGTTACCTACTAGGATAAACTAGTATCCTATTAGCTTGTTGAATATAACAGTATTATATTCAGTCGTTTAGATAGTGGTAGATATATAATTCCTGACAGATAAGACCATTGTTTAAAATAATTTTTGTGTGAGCTCTAGGTTATATTAAGTAGCTTTATTTTTCCCTGAAGGCAGTACAGTAGGGAGAAATGAATAGATATTCCCTTGGATTTGCCTAATAAACCACAAGGTTCTTTATTTCAAGCCTGATCTCTGTTGGATATATAAGATCAGTGTACTAACCCATAAGCCACAAAGCTATCCTACAATTAATTAATTAATTATTTTTAGACAGGGTCTCACTCTGTAGTTGAGACTGACCTGGAACTCACTATGTAGCCCAGGCTGGTCTCGAACTCACAGTGATCCTCCCCCCTCAGCCTCCTGAGTGCTGGGATTACAGGCATGCTCCACCATGCCTGGCTCTAGGATACTTTAAATGTAGCTATTCATTGCCTTAACTACTGATAACTCCTCCACATTTTCTTTATTTTTTTAATTTAAAAAACTTAACATGTAATACTAGAACATATTTATGGGGTACAGTTGGAGGAGAGCATTTGTTTTCTTTTGAGACAGGATCTTGCTACATAGACCATGTTGGCCTCAAACTCACAATCCTCCTGCCTTAGCCTCTCCCGGTACTGGTATTACAGGTGTACACTGCCATGCCAGAGTCCCAGTGTGATGTTTTGTTACATGTATACAGTGTGTAATGATCAGTTCTGAGTAATCAGTATATTTATCACTTCAAACATTTATCATTTTTTTGTGATTAGAAATAACCTCTTCACTGCTTTTAGAATTGGATGAATGTAGCCAGGTATGGTGGTATACACCTGTAATCCCAGTTATCTAGGCAATTTAAAATAAAAAGGGCTAGAGACATACTGGCAAGGCCCTTGATTAAATTCCCACTACTGCAATATAACAAAAAATCCATGATGTGACAGTGTTATATTCTGACCTAAAATAACAATAGTTGTTTTGGCCCTTTCTTTCTTTCTTTTTCTTCCTTCTTTCCGTCCGTCCGTCCTTCCTTCCTTTCTTTTTTTTTTTCCTTCCAGATTTTTTTGAGACAGGATCTCATTCTAATTCAGGCTGGCCTTGAATTCACTATGTAGCCCAGGCTGTCCTGAAAGTCACAGCAATCCTCCTGCTTCAGCTTCCCAAGTGCCGGCATTATAGGCGTGTGCCACCATGCCTGGCAGTAGTTGTAGTTTTAAGGAGAATTTAATTCCAGTTTTCATTACTATATACAAGTATCTTTTTAGGGTTTTTTTTGCCTTTTTTAAATTTTGTATTTTAAGACAGTTGTACATACCTTTTTTCACCTGATTTTGTGTAGGTAGCTCTCTAACAAACTGACAACATAGATCTTTGTAGTTGAGTTGTTTAGAACCACCAATTATCAATCAATAAATGAAATTTTGGGGCCAGGGATGTAACTCAGTGGCGTCTGTGCCTGCCTTGTAAGTGCAAGGTCCTGAGTTCAATCCCCGGTACCAATAAATAAATAAATAAAATAAATGTTTTTGTCTTTTTCTTATTAGTATTGACTGTGCAGGTATTTTGAAACTCCGCAATTCAGATATAGAACTTCGAAAAGGAGAAACTGATATTGGCAGAAAGAATACTAGAGTACGACTTGTATTTCGTGTACACATCCCACAGTCCAGTGGAAAAGTTCTTTCTCTACAGATAGCTTCTATACCTGTTGAATGCTGTAAGTAAATGTGTGAATGTTTGAAGAGTTTATTTGAAACAGTTCATTTTCTGTTTATGATGTGATATGTGCATTAGAATTATAATCTGAGCCCAGTGTGGTGTTGCATGCCTGTAATCCCAGCACCCTGGGAGGCTGAGGCAAAAGGATCGCCTCAAAAGTTTATCCCAACAGGGATATCCTAGCAATTTAGCAAGATCTTGGCTCAAAAAGTTAAATTTAAAAAGGGAGACTGGGCCTAGTGCTGGAGATGGGGAGTATAAATTGAGGGCTGAGGCTGTAGCACAGTAGTAGATTGCTTGCCTAGAAGGCATGATGAGGTCCTGGCTTCAGTCTCCAATACTGTCCTGCCCCCTGGAAAAAAAGTGTAAATTGAAGCACAGAGTCTGGAGTGTTGGTTTGCTTTTCCCATATGGAAATAAGCCAACATGAAATTTAAAAGGGATGGAAGTGTTGCTCAGTAATAGCATACTTGGCTAGCCCTGGATTTGATCCCCCCCAAAATAAAAAAAATAGAGAGTCATGGTGGCACACATGTATAATCCCAGCACTCAGGAGGCTGAGGCAGGAAGATTACTGTGAGTTGGAGACTAGCCTGGGCTACATAGTGAGTTCCAGGTCAGTCTCAACTACATAGTGAGACCCTGTCGCAAAAACAAAAAACAAAACAAAACAAAAAAATCATTGTTTGAAAAAATTATAGAGTCAAAAGTAAATTTCCAAATCAGGTTTTGTTTTTGATTTGGTACCAGGGATCAAACTCAGGCCCTTGTACTTGTGAGGCAGGCGGTGGAACCACTGAGCCAAATCCTCAGCCCCAAATCAACCAGTTTTTTTCTGTTTGTTTGTTTTCGTTTTTTTGGTTTTTTGAGACAGGGTCTCACTGTGTAGTTGAGACTGACTTGGAACTCACTGTGTAGCCCAGGCTGGTCAAGCCAAATCCTCAGCCCCAAATCAACCAGTTTTTTTCTGTTTGTTTGTTTTTGTTTTTTTAGTTTTTTGAGACAGGGTCTCACTGTGTAGTTGAGACTGACCTGGAACTCACTCTGTATTTTAGCCCAGGCTGATCTTGCACTCACAGCAATCCTCCTGCCTCAGCCTCCTGAGTGCTGGGATTACAGGCCTGTGCTACCACACCCAGCTTCAACCAGTTTTTAGAAGCAGCTGTTTTACCAGCTTATTAATTATCCTGCCAGAGTGTTTTATAGGTATATAATCCTATCTTTTTTTTTTTTTAAGCAAAGTAAGTTTATAGAGTAGTTTGAGTTTTTTCAGATGAAATTACTCTTAAAATGTTATTCTTGTTGGGCGTGATGGCATAGGCCTGTAATCCCAGAATTTGGTAGGCTGAGGCAGGAGTATCACCACAAATTTGAAGCTAACCTGGGCTATGTATGTTGTGAGTTCCAGCACAGCCTGAACTAATAGAGAATTTTTTTTTTTTTTTTGGTACAGGGGATTGAACTCATCCCTGCGCTTGGGCGGAACCACTGAGCTAAATCCCCACCCCACCCCCCTTTTTCTTTTGTACTAGGGATTTAATTTAGGGACTTGCTATGCTAAGCAAGCACTTTAAGGGTAAGCTATATTCCTAGACCTCTTTACTTTTTGTTTTAATATAAGGAAGGAAGTCTGGGTGTGGTGGTGCATGCCTATAATCCCAGAATTTGGGAGGTTGAGGCCAGCCTAGTTACATAATGCGTTCAAGGCCAGCCTGAATTACATAGCAAGACCTTGTCTCAAAAAATCTCACTGAGTTGCCCACCTGGCCTCAAACTTGTTTTGTTTTTGTTAAATTTTTTACCACTTTTATTTTCAACAAAATCAGTGTGACAGCCAGAAACAGCAGAATTTCTGTTCAGCTGCTTGTCCTCCCTATACTTACTAGCAGCATTTCCTGTAAACAGGAATTATCTGCAGTTGCTTCTGATAATGGTTAATAGATGCCTCCCATCATATTTCACAGTAGCAGTTTCCATGTCAAATTTGTAATCTTCCTATCTCATCCTCAAGTAGCTGGGATTAGAGATTAAAAAACTGGCCACATGGGCCAGAGATTTAGCTCAGTGGTGCTGCTGCCTGCCTTGCAGGCACAAGGTCCTGAGTTTGATCCCCAGTACCAAAACAAACAAGCAAACAAAAACTTGCCACCATGCCCAGTTGATTTTAATTTTTTTGTTTGTGACATAAATTAATATTTTATTATTGCAAATATAGAAAATGTAGTATAATACAAAGAGTAATTTGTTTTGTTTCTCAGAGATAATCACTTTTTGTTCAGTAATATTGCAGTATATAATGTTTACAGTCCTCGTGTAGAGTTGGTGCTTATACATAACAACATATCTTAACTCCTGTTTTCATCCCCTTTCCTTCCCCTCCCTTCATTTTTCCATCCCTTTCCAATTGAGGAAGATCTATCTCCCTACTTCCTATGATCTGTCTTTTATTTTGCTATTTATTTATATATACAATATTTTGTTTCTCATAAGAGAAACCATGTTATTTAAGCTTTTATGTCTGATTTATTTTATTTAACATTATGGTCTTAAGGTGCATCCATTTTCCTACAAACAATTCTAATTTATCTTTATGGCAGAATAGTATACATTTTTTTTAATTGAGTTTATTGGTACATTCTAGGTATACAGTAGAGTTACATTCATTACTGGGATCTTGTACCTTTACGTGACAGGTCTTCGTTCTCATTTTTTCCCCTTGTCCCTGCCCTCCCTTCACCCCCTCCTCCCCTCCCCATTTACAAACACTTTATTTCCATTTTTCCATATTCTCATATTTTTTCCTTTTCCCTTATTCCCTTTCCCCTACCCTTCCCACTTTCCCTACACCTTTAGCCCTTTTGTTCCTATTTCACGTTGTTAATTATCTCATTAGGATCTTATGTACTATTATAGTTTTTCATACAAGATAAACTATTCGGTATTTACACAATAGTACACATTTTTATCCCTTCATCTGTTGATGGACATATAAGGCTGCTTCTCAGGTTGAGCTCTTATGAATTGTGCTGCTATAAACATGAGTATTCATGTATCACTGTAGTATGATGCCTTTAATTCTTTAAAGATAATGTCTAAAAGGAAATAGCTGGGTCAAATGGAATTTCTAGTGTTAGTGTTTTTAAGGATTCTATACACTGATTTCCATAGTGGTTGTACTAATTTACATTCCCACCAACACTGTAGAAGGGTTCTTCTTCCCCCAAAGCCTTTCCAGCATTTGTTATTATTTGATTTTTCCCCCCCTGGTACCAGGGATTCGACTCAGGACCTTGAACTTGTGAGGCAGGCACAGCAGCTACTGAACTAAATCCCCAGCCCAGTAGTTGATTTTTTTTTTTTTCATTATTTGATTTCTTGACTGTGGCCATTCTCTCTGGGTTAAGATGAAATCTTAGTGTTTTAATTTGCATTTCTCTAATGTTGAACATTTTTTTCATGTGTTTATTGGCCATTTGTACTTCTATGAAATATCTGTTCATTTCACTTGCCCATTTTTTTAATTAGGTCTTTTATTTTGGGGTCTGTTGTTTTCTTCTGGTTTTCTATATTCTAGATATTAGTCCTCTATGGGTAATAGCCAACAAAAATTTGTTTCCATTCTGTAGGTTGTCTCTTCATTTTGTTGCTTGTTTCCTTTGCTGTGCAGAAGCTTTAATTTTAGTGCTGGGCATGGTGGTGAGTGCTTATAATCCCAGCACTTGTTTGCCAAGAGTTTGAGACCAGCCTGGGATACATAGTGAGTTCAAGCCCAGCCTGAATTATTTAGAGCAAGACCTTGTCTCAAAAAATAACAGCTTGAACCCCAGGGAGTTCAAAAAAGAAAGAAAGAAAAAAAAAGACAGGTGTGGTGGTGAACACCTGTAATCCCAGTTCAGGAGGCTGAGGTAGGAGAATTACAAGTTCAAGGCCATCCTGGGCTGCATAGTGACTTCAATGGTAGCCTGTATAGTGAGACCTTGTCTCAAAAAAAAAAAAAAAGAAAAGAAAAAAAAAGTTTTTTTTAAATTTAAAAACAAAGAGGGCTAGGAATTTAGCTCATTGTTGCTGCTGCCTGCCTTGCAAGCACAAGGACCGGAGTCCCCCCCCAAAAAAAACCAAAAGAAAAGCCAGAAGTAAAATCTCTAGAATAGCAGCTTAGAACCAGTTAATGTCAGAGAAAGGAATGGCACCAAAAATACGTTATAAAAATTGATAGTTTAGGGCCAGGGCTTTAACTCAATGGTTCTTCCACCTGCCTTGCAAACGCAAGGTCTGGGTTCAATCCCTGGTACCAATAAATAAATAAGTAAGTAAATTCCTTTTTTAAAAAATTGATAGTTTAAATAATGACTGTGCACTAAGAAAAATAGATATTATTCTGTATGCCCTATGAGGGTTCAGAATGTATAGTCACTAAAGAAACATTTAGGGGAGGGGCTGGGGATTTAGCTCAGTGGTTCTGCCTTGTCTCACAAGTGCAAAGACCCGAGGTACTGGGGAAAATATATATATATTTAGGGGGCTGAGGTGTTTAGCTTAATGGTGTCACACCTACCTCGCAAGCACAAAGTCCTAAATTCGATCCCTGATACTGCAAAAATAAAGAAATAGAAATATTTAGTCATTTTTTAAAAATTCAGTATTTTAGCCGGGCATGGTGGCTTACACCTGTAATCCCAGCACTTGGGAGGCTGAGGCTGGAAAATCACAGTGAGTTCCAGAGCAGTCTGAACTACATAGTGAGGCCCTGTCTCAAAAAAAAAAAAAAAAAAAACATCAGTATTTTATGTTTCAAATATTTACTCAGAAAATTATCCAAATTGGAAGCCAAATGTTGCAATGATGTTCTAAGTATTTTCCTGATTGCCTAGAGTCACTTGTTTGCCTGTAATAATTCTTTTTTTATTTTTTATTTTTGGTATTGAGGAACTCAGGATCTTTAGCCTGCCAGACAGGCATGGCACCACTGAGCTAGATTCCCTGATCCAAAATATGCTATATTCATGGTTGAACTTTTTTTTTCCAATACCTGGGATTAAACTCAGTATATCCTCTCAATCTCTCTCTCTTTTTTGAAAACAGGGTCTCACTGTGTAGTTCAGGCTGGCCTTGAATTTACTATGTAGCCCGGGCTGACCTCAAATTTGCTCAGCCTCCCAAGTACTGGGATTATAGGTGTGAGCCACCACACCCAGCTTGTTTTCTCTTTATTATACATAATATAACTATACATATTTGACCTTACATGATTTTATAGGTAGATTTAAAATTTTCACAGTTGTATGGGAAAATATATTAAAGATTTAAACAAGGGATAAGTGTGCAGTTTAGTGTAGAGTTTTTGCCTAGCATGCACAAAGCCCTGGGGTCAATCTCCCACTACGGGGGGGGCGGGGGATATTTAAACTAAAAAGAAGAAAAATGGGATAAATGTGTAGGAATCAATATAAAGTTGAAGACATGAATTTCTATATTTCTTTACAGTTATAGTCTAAGAAAATAATTTTAAAATTACATCAATTTAATATAGCTGTCTTGTTTTCTAGAGTGCTTTGTTTTTTTAATAAGAATTGTTATCTTTGGGGCCGGGGATTTAGCTCAGCAGCATAACACCTGCCTGGCAAGCACAAGGTCGTGAGTACCATCTCTGGTACCAAAAAAAAAAATTGTTATCATTGTCTTGAATTTTGAAAATCTGAATTAATCTCAAAACATGCTTATATTTTTATTTTATAACCTGAGTTTTTTTATGTATAAAATATTTTAAACTAATGTCTTTTTTTCTCAACTCTTAAAAAAACACAGCCCAGCGGTCTGCTCAAGAACTTCCCCATATTGAGAAGTACAGTATCAGCAGCTGTCCTGTAAATGGAGGCCATGAAATGATTGTGACTGGATCTAATTTTCTTCCAGAATCCAAAATCATTTTTCTTGAAAAAGGACAAGGTAAATAATATAAGTTGATTGTCTTCAGTCTAAGGGGCAAAACTAAATCATTTAGATATTTTAGTAACACTAATCACTAAATAGGTTTCCTAAAGCTTCAGGCATCAGTTATACCCTGGATTTTATTATATACAAAACATTTATTAAATTTTCATGTAAATGTCACATTCTCAAGCTGGGCATGGTGTGGTACACACTTAGAATCCCAGCATTCTGAAGGCTAAGGGAAAAGAATCACAACATACATGAGACCAACTTGGGCAACATTGTGAAATCAAAGCCTGTTTAAACTACATATCCTGTTTCGAGGGAAAAAAATCTCTTCAAAGATGTCTTAAAAATAGAGGAATTCTCTGAGCATTTCTATTCCTAGATATATTGAAAACATATCACACAAAAACTTAAATACAAGTGTTTATAGCTAAAAATGGAAATAACCCAAATGTTCATCAATTGATGAGTGAATAAGCAAATCCGGTATATTCATATAGTCAGGTATTACGTAGCCATAAAAATTAATGTACTAATACATGGTAAACATGGATGAACCTTGATGATATTGTACAGCTTTAAAAAGCCAGGGGCTGGGGATTTAGCTCGGTGGTTCAGCCACCTGCCTCCCAAGCACAAGGTCCCTAGTTTGATCCCCAGTACCAAAAAAATAAAAAGCCAGCACAAACTGGTTGTGGTGGTGCATACCTGTAATCCCAGCACTCTGGAGGCTGAGGCAGGAACATTGCTTGCAGGTTCAAGGACAGCCTGGACTACATAGTGGGACCCTATCTCAAATAGAAAAAAGCCAACACAAAAGACCACAGATAAGCTGGGCATGGTAGCACATGCCTATAATCTTGGCATTTAGGGAGACTGAGGCAAGAATTTCACAAGTTCAAGTCCTACCTGGGCAAATTAGTGAACTTGTATCTCAAAAAAAGTAAATGAGGGTCAGGTGTGATGGTGCATACCTGTTTTCCCAGCACTTGGGAAGCTGAGGCAGGACAATCACCATGATTTAGAGGCCAGCCTAGGCTACATAAGTTTAAGGCCAACCTGAACTACATAGTGTGACGATGGCTCAAAAATAAATAAATAAATAAAAGTAAAAGTTGGGCTGGGGATTTAGCTCAGCAGTTCGGTGGTCTGCCTTGCAAGCACAAGGACCTGAGTTCAATCCCCGGTACCAAAAAAAAGAAAAAGAAAAGAATAATAAAAGTTAAAGAGCCAGGTGTGGTGGTGCACACCTGTAATCCCAGCACTCAGGAGGCTGAGGCAGGAGGATCACTGTGAGTTCGAGACCAGCCTGCACTACATTGTGAATTCCAGTGCAGTCTGACCTACATAAGGAGACCCTGTCTTAAAAAAAAAAAAAAAGTTATAGTAAAAAAAAACAAGGACTGGGGATGTCGCTCAGTGCTTCAATCCCCAGAAAACACACACACACAGTCAAAGGCCATATATTGTAAGGTTCAATACAAATGCCCATAATAATCTACAAAGACAGAAAATAGATTATGTTTGTGGTTGCCAGTGGTTGGAGGGAGGTGTTAATTGAAGTAACTGTTGATACATAAAGTGTTTCTTTTGAGGTTAGTGAAAATTATCTGCATGCAGTTAGTGCTGATTATTGTATAACTCTGCGAATATACTAACAAACTCTGCCTTGTATATTTTATTTATTCTTTTTGCGTGTGTGGCACTGAGGCTTGAACCTAAGGGCCTTCACACCCCGCCCTTTTAAAATTTTTTATCTTGGATCATTGCCATACTGAGGTACTAAATTGCCCAGTCTGAGCTTACACTTGTGATCCTCCTTCCTCAGCCTCCCAGAGTGCTGGGATTACAGGCATGTGTTACCTACCTGGTTTGCATTACATTGTTTAAAACAATGAAATTTATAGAATATGGGTTATATCAGAACTTTTTAAAAGGTAAAAGAATTCATGTTTGTCAGTGTTTGATTTTATTTCTTCTTAAGCATATTTGAAACATTCTAGGGCCAGGGATTTAGCTCAGTGGCACCACACCTGCTTTGCAAGTGCACAGTCCTAAGTTCAATCCCAAGTACTGAAAAAAAAAGTTCTCTCATCTTTAAATTTTTAAAATACTTGACTATAATTACAATAGTAATGTAAGCAGATACTTAAACATTCCCCCCAATTTAAGAAATACAATTTAAAGACTTCCTGTTGCCCCTTCTCAGATTCCTTGCTTTTCTTTATAGTTCTAGTTTATAGCTTGTTTGTTTTTTGTTTTTTGTTTTTCCTGTTTTGGGATTGTCTATAATATGACATGTATTTTTTCTAAAAATTGCTTTTTCCACAGGTCAGCATTAAATGTTTTAACATGGATCCATATTAATCCATGTAACTGAAATTCTTTCATGTTCACTATTATGTAGTTTTTTTACTGTATGAATATGTACCACATTTTATTATCCTTTCTCTTACTAGACATTGGTCTATGTCCCAAGTTTTGGCACTGCTGAACAGTAGCTAACAATGCTGCCATGAGTGTTCTGGTTATTATCACCTGGTGGACATAGGCAAGAACATGATAATTTTTTAATTTTGTTAATCTAATAGAGGTAAATGAATCTTAAACTTTGGATCTGAATTTTCCTGCTATCTGTTGTTGTGTGTTTGTTTGTTTGTTTTGGTTTTTTGAGACAGGGTCTCACTGTGTAGTTGAGACTGACCTGGAACTCTGTAGCCCAGGCTGGTCTCTAAGTCAAAGTGATCCTCCTGCCTCAGCCTCCTGAGTTCTGGGATTACAGGCGTGTGCCACCACACCCGGCAATCTGTTGTTTTTATAGGCCTTTCATATTTCCTTTTTCATGTTGTTGACTATTTTTCCGTCAGATTAGTTTTTCATTTTTTTACTTAGGAATCTTGATATATTTTTGAATGTCAAAGTGAGTTACATAAATACCTTATCTTTTTTCAGCGTTCCAACATGTCTATTTTGAGTAGTTTCATCTTTCTTTAAACATGTGATAGTGCAGCAATTCTTTTCCAAAGATGGAATAGTTTACTTGGTGAAGGAGCGAGCTTCCCGTCACTTGAGGTACACAAGTTAGTTGGCCACCACTTGGTGGGCTGCTCTCAGAGGCCTTCATGTATCACTTACATAGAGGGGTAGCGTAAACTCTGGGGTCTTATAAGCGAGTTGGCCTAAGTTTTGTATCCCTGTTTTTCTCCGTGATTACAATTTCTTTTCGTATTAGAAATCAGTGAGAAAAAGATTCTCTTTGCCTTAAATGTGATACTATATACATGAGATTTTGTTTGTATGCTTTTTGACTTAAATTATTTTAGCAATACATTGTTCCTTTCAACAGATGGACGACCTCAGTGGGAAGTAGAAGGAAAGATAATCAGAGAAAAATGTCAAGGGGTAAGAAATTTGCCTTAATTTTTTTTGTTGCTGTTTTTGGTACTGGGGATTGAACTCAGGACCTTGTGCTTGCCAGCCAGGCAGGCGCAGTGCCACTGAGCTATATCCCCAGCCCTTGCCTTCATTCTTAAGAAATATGCAAGAAGCTTATCAGAATTTTTTTTTTTTTTTTTTTTGGTGGTATGGTGATTCACTTACACTTGCCAGGCAGGCGTGGTGACACTGACCTAAATCCTCAGCCCTTCTTATGAGAAAATTTAATAATGCTGCTTTATGGCATAGATGAGAATTTTTTAAAGTTTGAAAGTAACATACTTCTGGTTTAGGGAAAATAATCTGTTTCTTTCTTTTCTGTGTATTAGGAAAAAAATGTCAGATTTGTGGCACATGTGTAATCCCAGCTCTCTGAGAGACTGATTTGGGAGGCTCACATGTGTGAGTCTACCCTCAGCAGTTTAGTAACTTAGTGAGAACTTGTCACAGAATAAAAAATAAAAAAGGTCTGAGGATTTAGCTCAGGGCAAAAGCCCTGGGTTCAGTTCCCACTACTGGAAAAAGAGAAATTAGAAATGAAATCAAATTTAATTATCTGAATTCAGTAAATAAAACACATTTAATAAAGAACAAACAGTATAGAAAGATAGAAATTTGTATATTTAACATAAAGTATTCCGAATTCTCAGATACCTTATTAAGCCTTTCAGAATTCCACACTGAAGGCTTTGGTCCCTTATATTCTTTGGAATAGAGATAAAAGTCTTCTCTGAGCTAGGAAATACCATTTCACTTCAGTGCTTCCTAGACTCATAGCACTTAGGTTGAAGATTGTATTTAGTGTGTGCCTAAAGATTTTCACCCTTCCCTGCGTAAGTTTTTTGTGGTACTGAGGATTGAATCCAGGGACACTGTACCTCTAAACTACATTCCTCATCCCTTTTCATGATTTGTTGTTGTTGTTTTGAGATGGGTCTCACTATGTAATTTAGGGTGGCCTTGAACTCACTATGTAGTCCAGGCTGTCCTTGAACTTGTGTGGATCCTCCTGCCTCAGTCTCCTGAGTGCTGGTATTTATTACAGGCATGCACCACCATACCAGGCTTCTTTTTTATGTTTTTTTAAGACAGGGTCTCACCAAATTGCCCCGCTGGGTTCCAACTTGCCATCTTGCTGCCTCAGCCTTGTAAGTAACTGAGATTACAAGCATGTGCCACTGGCCCTACTAAAATTATTTTCAATATGGATGTAGATTTTGTGTACTTGTGAATTTAGAATATATAGAATAAAAGAGACTATATAGAATATGTTCAATATAAAATTTAATGATAGGAAATCTGAACCATGGTTCAGTATAAGAAATAGTAAACAATGCCACCTGCCTCACAAATGCCAAGGACCCAAGTTTGATCCCCAGTACCAAAAAAAAAGGGAAAAGAAATAGTAAACACAATTAAAAACCAGAATGGATTTCCTGTTAAGATATGTAGTAACTTGTAATATTCAGTAGAGCAAAGTATTTTGCTACATATTGTATGATAATGTCTTTTATTTCTGCCATAACTAGAAACTCTGTTGGATAAATAAAAAGCAATTTCTTAGGAGGGCATGATGGTGTATGCCTGCAGTCCCAACTTTGGAAAGATTTGAGCAGGAAGATCACTTGAACTCACTGCTTGAGTTCAGCCTGAGCAACATAGTAAGACCTCATCTCAAAACAAAAAAGGCAGTTTTTCCTTTAATGATTAAAGAGTTTGTCTCTATCATTTCTGAAATATCTATATGTATTGTAAATCTCCTTATTGACCAGTTGATGTACATATGATGAGAGAGCCTTGTAGTTAAGGCTCACGAGTTTATCTCTTTAGCAGGTGCATTTCATTTTTAGTGCTGTGTAACACAATCTTGCTTTCCCTGCTCCTTAGGCTCACATTGTCCTTGAAGTTCCTCCCTATCATAACCCAGCAGTTACAGCTGCAGTGCAGGTGCACTTTTATCTTTGCAATGGCAAGAGGAAAAAAAGCCAGTCTCAACGTTTTACTTACACACCAGGTATGAGTTGTTGTGATGGTTTACTCTAGAGCTTTCTTTCATGAATAAAGTAATTCAGTGAGTCCTATATTAAAATGCTAAGGTAGATATTATAATTGATACAAAGACTGATATGCTTAATATAAAATTTGTATTGACTTTAAATACTAGATGCACCATCAGTTATTATTTTGTAGTAACTTATTATAAGGAAATTAGAAGATGGAATGTAGGTTTGAAGTCTTTTCAGAAGGTATCAGAAATCAGCATTTTAGGAAGAGCAAGTATTTGTATTTGTGTGCTCCTGGCTTGTGAACTACACTTGCACCCTTATCTCTGCAAAAAGGCAGAATGACTGCTTTGTGGTGTTTTCATCTTAACCATGTCCACTCAACCAAAAAAATCTTAGGGCTGGGGTGATAGAAATTTAGCTGAGTGGTAGAATGTTTCAAGTAACTACAAAAAAGAAAGCCCTCTTGTTGGAACTCCATTGTATAAGCAGTAAGTGTACCATGTTATAGGCTGTGGATATAAAATTAATGCCAGAGTTCCTGGTTTTATAGCTATATACGAACAAAGGAGGTATCCATACCTCTTCTTGCAGCAGTTGTGTATGGTGGGTGACGGAACTGGGGTTGAACTTGGGCTTTTATACTAAGCTACATCCCCAGCCTTTTGTTTAAATTTTGAGATAGGGTCTTGCCAACTTGCCCAAACTAGTTTTGAACTTCCAGTCCTCCTTTATCAGAGATAAAGGAAATTGTCAAGCATACACTACCATACCAGCCCAGATACTTGTATTTGAGAGGGAGCTGGTAATTAATGGTTATTCATTTGTCACATATTTTTAAACTGTTAAACATAAACTTTTCCAATAAATTCAAAAAACATTAACTTTTATTTATATATATATATGTGTGTGTATATATATATATATATATATATGTGTGTGTGTGTGTGTGTGTGTGTGTTTTTGTTGCTTTTTTTTTTTTTTTTTT